ATCCCCTGTATGCATGGTCTTCCCCCCACAGTATATAAGATGTTTGAGGTGTTGGGCATGTCTTGGTTGTTTTTTGTACCCTTACTGATAAGCACTATGTATCACAGTGCTGGATACATGGTAAGTAGTTAATAAATGCCTTATCATCCATCCATCCATCTATCTATCCATCTATCTATCTATCTATCTATCTATCTATCTATCTATCTATCTATCTATCTATCTATCATCATTCTATCTATCTATCTATCTATCTATCTATCTATCTATCTATCTATCTATCTATCTATCCATCTATCTGTTTACCCCTCCATCCACCCATCTATCTGTCCTTCTATCCATCCACCCATCTGTCCATTCATCCATCCATTCATCTGTCTGTCCACCCATCTATCCATCTGTCTATCCATCTATCCATCCATCTATCTACCTATCTATTTGTCTGTCTGTTTATTAATCAACCACACAATAAGGGGGACACAGAATTAGTTGAATGACAACACCCAAATAATAGCCATTGATGAAATAGATGTTACCGGGAGAGGTTTGTCTCCAATGGAGTATCTCAGTGGTCTGGCCCTGGCCCCATTCTATTTAGCATATATGTGTGTGTGTGTGTGTGTGTGTGTGTGTGTGTGTGTGTGTAATTTGCATGCTCTTCAAGCAGAGGCTGGACAAGTGCTTTCTGAGAATATTGTGGAAGGGATCCCTGTTCAGGAGTAGGTGGGGTTAAACAGTCACTGAACCTCCTTCCCACTCAAAGGTTGCATGATTCTCTGGTTTAGGGGCAGGCAGGTCCCAGCCCTCATGTCCGCCCACTCAATTGTCAGTGCATTCTTCCTAGGCAGATCTTGTATTTACTTTCTTTGTGCAAGTTGTTCCCCTCCAAGTAGAACATAAACTCTCTGAGGGCAGGGACTGCTTTCAGTTTTGTCTTTGTATCTCCACTGCCCAACACAGAGCCTGGCAGACAGTTTTACCCAGGGTCACATAGCTAAGAAGAGTCTTCCTGACTTCAGGGCTGGCACTCTACCTGCTGCCTAGCTGCCCCTGCATACGTGGCATACAGTTGGCATTTAGTAAATATTTATTGGATTGAATTAAATTGAATGATATAACCTACTATTAGGAGCTAAAGCAGTTAAGCCTTAGTCTTGCCAGCTTTAGCTGATTCTAACCATATCACCTCCCCCTCCATAGTCAATAATTGGCTCCCTATTACCTCCGGGATCAAATATGAAAGCCTTGATTTGGCTTCTAAAAAGTCCACTGTGGCCTGGCCCCTTCCTACTTTTCTAGTCTTCTGTACCTTCCTCTCCCCACACCCCTCATGTACTTTTCTATCCTCTGACACTGACTTCCTTGCTATTCCTAGAACAAGACATTCCATATCCCAAGTCTTGAGTGTTTCACTGGTTGTGTCTATTCCTGCAACACTCTCTTTCCTCCTTTCTGTCTCCTAGCATTCTTCAAGCCTCGGTTAAAATCCCACCAGTCCTCCTTAATCTTAGCACCTTCCCTTCAACACTACCCTCAATTTATCCTGTTTATATCTTGTTTGTATATTTGTACATAGTTGCATGTATGTTATGTTATCTGTCCCATTAGACTGTGAGTGTCAGAGATTATGGGGTTGGGTTTTTTTTTTTGCCTTTTTTTTTGGTATGCCTGGTGCTTAGAACGGTGCCTGGCACATAGCAGACACTTAATAAATGCTAGTTGACTGATTCTGTGATTTTTTTTTTATTCTCAGATTCTTTGTTGTTGTTTAGTCATTTTTCAGTTGGGTCTGATTCTTCATGACCCCATCTTCTGGGGTTTTCTTGGCAAAGATACTGGAGGGGTTTGCCATTTCCTTTTCTGGTTTTTTACAGATGAGGAAACAGAGGCAAACAGAGTGAAGTGACTTGCCCAGGGTCGCCCAGCTAGTATGTATCTGAGGCTGGACTTGATATCAGGTCTTCCTGACTCTAGGCCTGGCACTTTTACCCACTGTGCCACCTACCTGCCCCTTTCTCAGATTCTATTTTCTATGAATCTAAGGTCTGAAAATTCCGTGATCTAGCATTCTGTGATTCTCCATATACAGGAGCCCTAATCTTCCTCCAGGTTGTGCTGCTCTCCCTGCTCCCCAAGGTGAAGATTTCATTCCCAGGGACCTCCCTGATTTCCAGCTCCTGATTCCATCAGGTCTCCTTCTCTCGCTCTGCCAGGGCCATCCATCTGATTCACGATCAGCAGCTGGAGAAGGGAGGGAAGGAGGTAGGGCCAGGGCAGGCAGGAGATAATGAAAACATAGCCAGCCAAGTCAGCACTCAGGCGAAGCTGAGGAACAATTCCACCCACATCAATATTTATTGCAGGAGAGAGATGGAAGCAGAGCTCCATGTTCTCTACGGCCATTCTGGGGTTTTCAAACTGCTAACAGGATGAAGCCAGGAACTGGGAAAGCTTGGCAGCAAAGAAACTATATTGTTCAAAGAACCTTTGACTCAGAGTTTTAGATATGCTGAGTCACAGCATTTGAGAAACATTGCCATAGAAACTTCGAGTCATATAACATAGAGTAACACATCAGCTATGCTTAGCACACCAGCTGGAGGTGGGGTTGGTCGCGGTGTTTTCAAATTTACTGAGTGCTCTAACAACAACCGAGAATGGCAGGGGGTGCTAGTATTACTATACCCATTTTACTGAGGTCCAGAAAGGGTAAGTGACTTGTCTGAAGTCACACAGCCATCAAACGTTGCTAGAAACAAAGACTGGAACCTGGTTTGGGGACTCCAGAGTCAGGAAGACTCATCTTTATGAATTCAAATACAGCCTCAGACACTTACTAGCTATGAGACCCTGGGCAAGTCACTTAACTCTGTTTGCCTCAGTTTCCTCATCTGTAAAATGAGCTGGAGAAGAAAATGGCAAACCTCTCCAGTATCTTTGCCAAGAAAACTCCAGATGGAGTCAGGAGGAGTCAGGCAAGACTGGAAAAATGACCAAGCAACAACAACAGCAAAAGACCAGCATTAAAAGAGCAAAGTGAGTAGGGGTGTTGGAGATCGCCTCCTCCAATCCTCCCACTTTACAGATGAGGACACTGAAGCCCAGAGGAGGCTAAGCCAGGCCCAAGGTCACACGACTAGTCTGACAGAGGTAGGACTTTCTCCAGGCCAGCGCTCTTTCTGCCGTCCCTCAGCCCCATAATGTACTTGGGTATTAAATGTGGAGTCTTTGGTCCAGGCTCTGCCTCAGACACATAAGCTGCACGTGACCCCGGGCACGTCACTTCACTTTTCTTTGTCCCAGTTTCCTCATCTGTTAAATGGGAGGTGGCTGAACTCAATGGTCTCTGCAGTCTCTTCTAGCTATAAACCTGCTCTTCACTGAGAGGCACTGAATGAGGGACATAGACGGGGTGGGCTGGAGAAGGCAAAGTGAGCTTGCTGTTGATTACATTACAATGCGGGTAGAACATTGTCTGTTCCCTCAGTCTGCTCTACCATTATGCCATCAAGCTTTTTAGTTGGCCAGCGGTGAGCCTGGCATTGTGAGATGTGCAAATGAATCTTGTAGTTCTCTGAACCCAGAAGAGAAGCAGGCTCAGGGCCCCCCAGGGGGAGTCTGAAGATCCAACTGGAAGTTTAGAATATACGCTAGAGAAGAGCAAGAGCCCCATGGCCAGTCCCAAGGAGCTGGAGCTCCAGGAATTTGACATGCTTTACTGAGGGCTAGGCTGGATTTGTCCCAAAGGGACACACCGACCGCTCAATTGCTGGGTTCAGGGCTGTGCCAACACATCAAAGAACTAGAAAAACAGGAATTGAATGCTATTCTTTTTTTAATTTCTGTCCTCCAATCTCTTGTGGGTTAGGCCAGAAGGAGGGCCATCTAAAATCGGAGGTATCTGGGGGATTATCCCAAGACGATTACCCTCCCTCAAGCCTACCCCACCCTTAGGAGCCCTCTCCCCGCTGTCCAGAAATAGAGACACACAGAAGAAGAATATGTTGGATCTGACTTGCCTGCTGCTCCTCAAATCAAGTTCTTCCCTCACAAAAATAGCTCCTCTCCCTTCTCCCTATTTCCCATTTCTCATTACTTGTGGCAATCTCTAGAAGATGTCTTGGATCTATCTGCTTCCTCTTCACTCACCCTAGTTCAAGCCCTCTTGTGCAGACCATTGCAGTTCTCTGGCTCTGTAATTACTGGTCCCCCTTTCTCCAGTTTTCTCCTTTTGTGATCATGGGCAGGATACCTACCCTCTCTGGTCTTCAGTCCCACCCCAATCCCACATTAAATAAGGGCAAGGGGTTTGCAGTGGCATCAAACTGAAATGGAAATGGATTCTGCATACTGACATAGAAAACCACAAACTAATGCTAACTATTTTGCATTGTATTTATATATTCATTGTCAAATACCTTTCGATTCCATTTTAATCTGGTTCAGGCACACTCCAGAGCACTGAGGCATGGGCCTGGAGTTGGACATCTCTGACCTAGATGATCTTAAAGGTCTCCCCAAGTTCTAATCCCATGACCCTATGATCCCTCTGCAATTTGTCAGGGGCCTGTGACATCCGACACAGGCCTAGAAGGATAGGAAAGGGTTCTGAATGTTAGAACTTGGAGAATGTTTAACTTCATTAAACATAACCCTGCCTCCATCTCCAAATAAAATTATGCCATGTATACCAAAAGTCCAACGGAAGTAAGTGAGACCCCAGGGAAATATAATTAATTAGAAGTGGGAAAGGGTAAAGAGCGGGCACTGTTTTGTCTGCTACAGCCCTCTGTTTTCCTTCCTCTCCCTTCACAGCCAGAGTTTCATGAACAACAAAAATGACTTGTTTTTCCTTTTAGCTTTGTTTAGGAGTAAGATGTCTTCAGTGAAATGCCACAGAGCTCCATCCTTGACCCTGATCTTGGCCTTGAAAGAGGACCTTACACACGGGAACAGAAGAGATGTAGGGGGATAGTGTCCCTACCACCAGGGGCCCTTACGTTGTCATCGAGCGAAGGCGAGATATGTTTCCGGAAACTAAGCTCCTGCTTCTCCTTTGGCATCTCCCGGGGAAAGAAGAAATAAGGGAGGGCAGTCAAAGTCACAGCACCAGCAGAGACCAAGAATCCCAGCCACCAGGCACCCACCCAGCGTGGGTCCTTTGGAGTCAGGGAGGTGCCTCCTGGAAAAGAAAGCAGAGCCAACTGAGTACATGGGGACGCTGTGGTGAAAGGAGAGGGGATCCATTTGGAGCCAGAGGACTTGGATTTGAAGCCTCATTGCCATTTACATAAGTCACGCATGAGTCATTCATCCCCTTTCTCTGGACCTGACTTTTCTCCTCTGACAACAATGAGGTCGGACTAAACAAATCCATTCTCTTCCTACTCTGGATGCTCGAATCCCACGAATACCCCCTGCTTTCAACACCACTTTTGACGTTCCCTCTTAGAGACCTTGCAGCTGACTGCATAACCTTGGGCAAATCCTCTCATATTAGGGCTCAGCTTCCTTTTCTTTAAATTAGGGATGACCGCCTCTCCTGCTTCATAGTGGGGAGTGGGGGTTGGGGTGTGGCCGATGAGAATATGGATGGAAAAGTTGTGTGGAAATAGCGCTAGATCAACAACCAGGAGACGTAGGTTAAAAGGCCAACCTCCCTCTTACTAGCTCCATATCCTCCGACAAATCACTTCCCCCTAGGCTTGTGTTGCTTCATGTTTAAATAACAGGGCTGGACTATGAGCTTTCATGTCACTTCCCACTCCAGCTTTCCACGTGCTAAGATCTTTGGGGCCGCCATCTTGGTTCTGCCATCAACTTACCCATGGGACCTTGGATAAATCACTTAACCTCTCTATGCCTCCGTTTTCTCACCTGAATACTGAGGGGTTTGGCCTAGATATCTCTTCTAGCTTTAAATCTATGATTGCGTGATGTTCTGTGTTCCAAGCATCCTGCCAGCTGTGGCATTCTGTGCTCTAGGCTCCCTTTCCAGATCAGACATTTTGTGTTCTAAGGTCCCTCTAAGCTCTAAAAAATCTAAAGCATTATATAAATGCTAATAGCAGCTATTTATTATTATTATTTCTAATAGTCCCTGTCACCTTGGACCTTCTATATTCTAAAACCTATTATTGTTTTTGTTCAATCGTAACTGACTCTTCATGACTCCATTTTCTTGGGTTTTCTCAGCAGAGATGCTGGAGTGATTTGCCATTTCCTTCTCTAGTTCATTTTACTGATGAGGAGACTGAGGTAAACAAGGTTATAGTGACGTGTCCAGGGTCACACAACTAGTAAATGTCTGAGGCCAGATTTGAACTCAGGTCTTCCTGACTCCAGGCCCTGTGCTCTAACCACTGCTCCACCCAGCCGCCCAAAAAAGTCTATTAGAAGAGCCTATGTTCTACTATGGAAAAGGAAAAGAAAAATGGAGAGACAGGAGTGATAAATGAAAATCATTGTGGCACTGTGTACCACAGAAGACCTGGCTGGGGTTAGGGGGAGGGGAGGGTCCTGTCTGATGATTTCCAGAAGCACATAACAACCGGCCTGGAGATGGCATATAGTAGTGCGAGGGGCCTCCGGCTATCCAGGCACCATCCACCAGAGCTCTATGCTAAAAGCAGACCAGCTGATAAATTCTTGATTGGCCTCAATTATAATTTCTTCCTTCAGAAGGAAGATGCAGCAGTGAGGGGAAGTGCTATTCTTAACCTGAGCCTGACCAGCAAGGAGGAAGTGGCTGCTGGGGTAGAAACTGGGGGAACCCTGGGAGACAGTGACCACTCATCCAGGAGACAGCTAAGGAGGGGGAAGTGTGGCATGCCCTGACACATAGCCCCAAGCTTTTGAGAGCAGACTTTAATGGTCAGAGAAAAGACAGGTAGGCTCAGAACCCCTGGTTTAATGACTTGCAGGGGAAGTTGGTCTCTGAAGGATGGAAACTTCTCAAGGGTAAAATTTAAAATGTGTAAGCATAAATTATATTAATGAAGAAGGGGGGGAGGTACCCTAAGATGTGAATGCATAGGAAACTGATGGAGAGGCAGTGGTGTGATGCCTGGCTTTGGAGTCAGAGGACCTGGGTTGGAATCCTCGCTCTGCTCCTTACTGGCTGTGTGACCTTGGGCAAGTAATTTGAGCTCTCTGAGCAGCCGTCTCCTCATTTATAAAAGATGAGGGGGTTGGAATTGATAATCGCTCCAAATCCCATGACCCACTTAGATTTTTAAAAGTCATTCAGAGAGGATGTAAGTAAGAAACCCAAGGATGAATAGAAAAGGGCAGAGTTCTAGAGAATCAAGCTAGGAATGTAAGCATCCAGAAGGATCCCGGGCTTGTTGGGATGAGGGCCAATGACAACAAAAAGAACTATTAAAACTATTCTGGAGGCAATAAACCTCTAGGGGAATATCACAAGGCTCTGTCCTTGGCTCTGTTCTGTTCAGCATTTTTATCAACGATTTGGATGAATGCAGAGATGGCATTGGAACTTAAAGATGACATAAAGCTGGGAGGGACAAATGATATACTAGGTGACAGAATCAGGACCTCAGAAGTTTTGAAACAGCTTGGAACAACGGACTGACTCCTCAACATCCTTTCATGTGGCATAGTGGAAAGAACATTGGATTTGGACTCCAAAGACTTGTTTTTGAGTTCCAGCTCTGCTGCCTGTCAGCTGCTGGACCTTGGACACATCAGTTAGTCTTTCTGAACCTCAGTTTCCTCATCTGTAAAATGGAGGTACTAGTACTTTCACACCTTACAGGGCTATTGTAAGGCAATTGCTTCATACAACTTAAAGCACTTAAGACACACTTTTGTATTTTCAGTACTGAATTCAATGATGACATATAATAGTGATAAATGTAAAGTCCAGGTTTTGGATTAAAAAAACAACAATCCCAGAGTAGAGGAGGGGATGGTTATGTGGGGATTAAAATCGTGCAGTCTACAATAAAAGAAACTGAGGCCAACTCTGAGCCGATAGCACCTTATTAAAGGGTCCATGGTCCCCTCTAATGAAGTGGACCTCAGACTTTCCTCATGATTTCCATGACCCCTTCTTTCGGAACCTTGTTTTTATAGGGTTTGATACCCAAATATGCAGAAGAGGCATGGTAAAATACAGAATCTCATTGATTGATAGACCTTGCTCTTGTGGGCCAAAAATGACGTATTAGCAGAGGGGGTCACAAACTGGGTGAAATATGGGGCATCTCCACTGACTAAATGGTCATAAGATGGTCACCTGCTGGTGTTGGGCAAGAAAAAATGGTCTGGAGGTACAAAAATAAATTGGAGAACTTTCCATGTATTTGAGTTACCTCTGCCACACTGGGCTTGGTCACCATGACAAGGAAAAACAAGGCAGGAGGGCCTCTAGTTGGCTTGCTATGATTAAGCAAATGAATTTACAATTTGCAGTTCACAGCTCTGAGGCTTGATATACAGAACATATAATCACTACCCCCTATGGAATCATATCAAACTGACTAATACCAATTGGAATAGAGCAGGGGTCCAGACGGATGATTTCTCATAGCAAGACAGCAAACAGTTCATACGATAAAAGATCTGGGGCTTTTGGAAGACTTGCAAATTTAATACGAGTTCATTGTATGAAAGTCAAGTGGTCGAAGAAGGTAACTCAATTTTAGGTCCCATTGACACAAGTGTGGGGTTCAGAAAGAGAGAGATAACATCTTGCTGTTCTCTTCCCTGGTTAGAACATATCTGGAATATTTTGTTCAGTTCTGGGCATCATACTTTAAGAAGGACATTGAGATACTGGTGTGAATTCAGGAGATGGTACCCAGGATGATGAGAGGACTGGATGCCATACAGAAGTCTAGTAAAGGAACTAGGGATATTTAGTCTGGAGTACATAAGGCTTTGGGGCAATGAGGTGGTGCAGTGGATAGAGAACCAGGCCTGGAGTCAGGAAGACCTGAGTTCAAATCTGGCCTCAGATACTTATTAGATGTGTAACTCTGGTCAAGTCACTTCACCCTGTTTGCCTCAGTTTGCTCATCTGTCAAATGAGCTGGAAAAGGAAATGGCAAACCACTCCAGTATTTTTGCCGAGAAAACCCCAAATGGGGTTACGAAGAGTCAGACATGATTGATATGACTGAACAACACACATGATTTTTGGGGAAAAAATGAGAGCTATTCAATTATTTAAAAGGCCATCACATGAAAGAAGGATTAGACTGAAAGCAGAATCAATCGATTAACCAATATTTATTAAACATCTCCCATATTCCAGGCCTGTGCCAGGTGCTGGGGATACAAAAGTGAGACAGTCTTTGTTCTCAAGGAATTTACATTTTACCAGGACTATGAGCAAAGGTTGGAAATTGCAAAGAGGAAAGTTTTAAGCTGATAACAAGAAAGATCTTCCCTTGATTCTGTGATTCTAAGGTCCTTTCCAGCTCTGACATTCATTCTTTGATAGCATCAAAGAGTCTCAGAGTTGGAAGGGACCTCAAATGGCACCCACAATCCACACCAAGTCCAGTTGCAGATTCCCTAAGAGTAATCATCCAGGCTTTGCTTTAAGATTTTCGTACCAGAGGCAGGTAGGTGGTGTAGTGGATAGAGCATCAGCCCTGAAGTTAGGAGGAACAGAGTTCATTCACCTCCAGCCTCAGACACAACACTTTCTAGCTGTGTGGCCCTGGGCAAGTCCTTTAACCTCAATTGCCTCACAAAAAGAAAAAAAAAAGACTTCAGTATCAAGGAGCCCATTACAGCCTGAGAGAGCCTTTTCCAGCCTGGGATCAGGGGACAGCTTATGAAGAGTGCTGGATTTAGAGCTAGAGGGCCTGAATCCAGATCTTGCCTCTTTCACCACCTGTGGGAATTTCCTCATCTGGAAAATGAAGCAGTTTTGCAAGATGACCTGAAGTCTTTTCCTGCTCTAAAACTAAGATCCTATTATTAGAAAGTCCTTTCTTGTACAGAACTGAAATCTGTTTCCCGGTAACTTCCCTTCCATTCTTCTTGGTTCTACCCTTGAGGGGCCAAGTAGAACAATCCTAATCTCTTCCTCCAAGACAATCTTTCAAACGCTTGAAGATAGCTATCATTCTTCTCTTAAGTCTTCTCTTGTCTGGATAAAATATCACCAGTTTCTTCAACTGATGCTCATATGGCAAAATTTCCATT